GCTGAAGCGTCGACCATTTCTGGCCGGCAACTTTCAGCGTCATTAAGCTGCTGCGCCACTGTACAGTAAAACAGAAATTAGCAGAAGAGATCTATGTTGCAAAAGTGAAAATACCAATTTTCTAGATTATTTTCTAGTTTACTAAGATTTGTTTTGCATAGCTATGCATTTGACATTAAATTAAAAATGTGCTTGGGTCCCTAAAATATTTCATTTTCATTGTTTATTAGTTTGAAGGTTTTTTATTTTTTTTATTTTTTATTTTTTGCGTAGTCTTTTTCATCAAGACAATGGTTTTCTTCCATTGTATTTCTATAATCCACCCCAAGCAGTACATCACAGCTATGTGCCAACTTAGAAAAAGAAAAACTCAGCTAACAAACTACTGATCCAGTGATCCTGCAAGTGATAGATTACAATACAATGCAGTCAGCTCAATGTAGTACTGTAATATTTCACAGCATTTATTCATGTTTAGGTGCATTGATTTGTGAATGTTTATATCAGTGTTTCTCAACCTTGGCAGTTTGAAGATATCTGGACTTCAACTCCCAGAATTCCCCAGCCAGCCCATGCTGGCTAGGGAATTCTGGAAGTTGAAGTCCACACATCTTCAAGTTGCCAAGGTTGAGAAACACCGGTTTATATGATTCAATCAAAATAAAGCTATTCCTCATGTCAGCAGTAATGTGCTTTCCTCCCATCTCTGAGTTGGGAAAAAAGTACATCAATGAAGAAAGTGCTTCCTCAACTGCTTACTTCTGCCATGCCTCAGCCTCAGGGGCAATTACTGTTGTTGCCTACACACAGTTCAATGTGGGATAGCTTCAGGGCAGCAGTTGGTGACTTCCTTGCCATCCCTTCCCTTCCCACCCAGTGTCATCTACAGGCAGGGAAACCAGCTGCCAATCATGTGTTGGGGCAGGGTTCTGTGTTCAGTGGTTGTTTTTATTACCTAGGTTTAATGTATTAGATTTTCACTGTAGATACCTTGTTGGACTTTATGTTTGCCAAAAACAGAGGCTCCTGCTTTAGTTCCCTATAGCCTCCACAGAGAAGGGCCCACATGTCACATCTTTTCTTCTAAGTCTGGGCTAGGAAAAAGCAGGATTGTGCAATGAGAATTTCCCCCACCCACTGGTCAACTCCAAACTGAGATTCTCTGCTGCTGGAATGGCCATGTCTCTTTATCAGGAGCTGGCAATCACATAATTAAAAAACAAATCTATAATTTCAAGCTGCCACCCAAATTCTCCCGAAACTTTCTATTGTATTCTTTCCATATTAGGACTTCATACTGGGACTTTCCATATTGGGTTAGAAGGACAAGGGAGGAGAAGACCCTGAAATACTCAGAAAGGGAATCCCACTGCTAGTGATGATGATCTGCAGGGCCTCTCTTTTCTCCCATGACTAAATCAGGGCAGCCCAAAGATCCATGTTTTGCTTGCACTAGAGATCAGGACAGGCCTTCCAATTCCATTTCTTGTTAATGGTCAAAGGTTCTAGCCTGATAATAGGAGACCATAATAGGCAATAGTTCATACTTCTGACACTTGCTTCTGAAGCCCCATAATGCCCAGCTTTGGTCTCTCTTCATCTCTGGGGTGGAACTCATCACACTTGATGGACGGAGTTCACTTGAAGGAAATCCCCCTCTGGCTCTGCAGGTCCAGTGCATTTAGGTCACTGCCTCTGGTGCTGAACCAGACATCAGCTATGGCTCAGGGCATGTTATCCAGCTCAGAAGACTCTTACATGGCCAGCCAGAATGGTCTGTTCAGCTATTTCCAAAGGATTCATGGTGTTAGCAGCCAGAGTTGGTACTCTCTCCAGGACTTTGAATGCTGCATCCCACACAGTTGGCTCCTCCTGCAGTTGCCAATCCTTTTAAAGAGGCAATCACTTTTTAGTTTCCTGGAAGACCTGCATCTCTTAGATGACCTGCATTCACTCTTACATCACATTGATATCTATCTATCTATCTATCTATCTATCTATCTATCTATCTATCTATCTATCTATCTATCTATCTGTCACATCTCATACAAGGTGACTCTGGGCGGCTTACAACAATTCTCAAGTCCAAACCCCAGCTCCTCCCCACCCTATTCTCTGTCGAGTACAGTTGCTTCAACTTTTAAAAAAAGATACTTTTTTAAATATAAGATACTTTTTTTAATATTATAGGTTTGTAACATTTTTGGTATCAGCTGAATGTGAATGCTGTGGAATGTATTCAGAGATGCATTCTTCTTGGCAGAGCAAAGAAAATGTGATCAGGGCAAAAACTGAGAACATTCGAGATTAAAAAAACCCCATTTTTTAAAGCATCATCCAGTCTTTTAAATAAATATATTTATTGCCTGCATTCATCCCTTCTCATTAACCAGTCTTAAAATTACATTTAGTGGTTTTAAGCTAATGAAGATCAGATGCAGCTGAATAAAGGGGCTCTGCAGTCCTTATATTGTATTCACATATAGTATTGAGTTTACAAGTCAAATAGTGAAAATAACTGAAGACGTATATCTTCTACCTCTCAAAATGAATTCCATGTCGCATAGTTCATCTACTCCAACAGCATGGTTGACTAAAAACAGTTACAAATCTAAGAGTTTTATAGAATCTCATAATAGGATATGTCTTCCCCTCCTCTACATTGCAATCTACCATATCTTTAAAAAATGTCCCAGCTCTCCAGAACATATTTGGAGCATGTACAAGAGATTGATGGGGGAGCTGGAGTTGCTGATTTCTTGTCTGAAAGACAGAAGGACTTCTAGAACAATTCATTTGGATTCCACCCATAGAGCCCAGTGTTAAAAAAATGTAATACAACATCAGTCTGATACTCTAGATATGGTGGTTGTTAGAACACACACACTTCTCCCTTCCCATTTTTATGTTTACTTTATCAAATGCCAATGTATCAATACATAGATATATTGAAACATGTTAAATTATAGTACAAAAAGGTAGTTCTCAAAGAATCCTCCTGTTTTACATAAGAGATCAAAATTTGGTCTTAAATGTAAACTATTTCCATTCTCCTTTTCAGTCAGATTTATAGCTAGATGCTGCATCTTTGGAAATTGATGTATGTTAGTCAACAATATCTAACCTGTTTTATTACTTTGCTTTATTTTAATTACTTTATTACTTAAAAAGTAGGTAAGGTTTAAATATACGGGTCCAGAAAAGGAACCTTGTTTTAGAGCTTAAAGATTGGAAGTAGCTCATCTTAAATTTATTTCAGAACAAATAAAATAAACTTTTACATGTTATAAAATAAATGTTATAAAATTTCATAATTGTAGCTTTTCCATACTACGTAGCAAGTATTCTGTGTGGACAAAGATGCCATAGGCCAGGATCAAGAATCCATCCAAGAATAATTTACATCTGGACATACAATAGATTTGCTGTATTGGCTTCTGCAGCAATTGAGTTTACAAGATGCTTTTCCAGTTGTATAATATTTCATTTTAGATTGTGAAATAAAGATCCTGAATGTAATGTTTTAGCCAGTTCAAGTGAAATTGTTTTCTTCCACAGAGGTAGCGCCATATGTTGAAGCTTTTGATAGACTCATGAATGGGAGTCTAGCTGAATTTATAAAGAATAGCAAGATCCTTGATGGTGATGTGAAGACTCACGTAAGCATTTCTTCCTATTTTAGATCCTAATTATGTAGCTTTAATTTTCACAAAAAGGTGGGTCTCCCACTGGACTCTCTAAGGTCCAGTACTTGCTGAAATTTCAAAGGGTGAAGTAATAGCTTTCAAGCCAAGCTCAAAAAAGGAGCTGAATTTGGAACTTCCTTACTCCTACCAGAAATCGAGTTAAATTTATGGAAAGTTAAATCCACCTTTCCCAAGAGGCAACTATAATTTACATAATGTAATAATTGAACAATGGTCCACCAGAGAAAGTTATTCAGTTATAAATCTGTTTGAAATAATGTGAAGGAGTATAAATATGAAGACCACTTACAATATAATGCATTCTCAGAGTTAAATTCAATTTAACTAAACTTATATTTCTTCCCAAATATTCAGTTCCAGACCATCTATCTAGATCTCCTTTTAGTTGTATTGAATTTGCTAATTGAAAACATTTCCTAAAATCTGAAGGTCAACCCCTAAACATATCAAAATTATTACTAAGGCCTAGTAGCATCAAGTCTGATTTGCTCCAGTTTGTAAAATAACTAGACAAGATAATAAACTCATATATTTGCACAATGAGATTAGGAATTGTCCTGCATAGTGTATTTATATCATTTTTTAACCCTGTAACAAATTTTCTGAAAGTTTACTGACTTAATCTGCATTGTGAAATAGAGGCCATGGTAGCTCTCACTGGACTTGATCCAGTATCTCTGCTTTACCTTAACAAGTCAAAGAAGGAATGCTTTTCTTCTACATATCTTATAGGCCACATATCCTATGCGTTATATGCACGGCTGCTGCTTCTTTCATATAAACAAGAGTTGAAACATTATATTATGTCATGGAATACATTTAAGGGTTTTTTTTCATGTAATCCTATGCACACTTACTGGAGGAACAATGCTTCTATAAAACACATGTTTTTACAATGTCCTATACTTACTAAGTTTTGGGAGAAAGTAGTCAACCATATAAATGTGATTGTGCAACGAAAGCTAAAATTTTCAGAGGATAATATTCTCTTGAATTACATACCTAGTACATGGAACTTGACAACTGGCCAACGTAAATGAATTCTCCATGCCCTTACTATGGCCAAAAGACTGATATTGCAGCATTGGAAAGGTAATTGTATGGCCCCATTTACTCAATGGATTGAAGACCTGATTGCACTTGCCACTTATGAGCAGATTACCTATAGATGTAGACTTTATACGGACAAGTATAATGAAATATGGGACTTATTTATAGAAAATATAGTAGGTTGAAAAAATGATAGTCATATAAATGTATTAGAAATACATGCACATTTGAATAATATATGCATTAGATAAGTATGTATAGAATTGTAACTGTTTACTGTTATAATGAGATATACTATGGATTTTTCTTTGTCGTACTTCTTTCACTTTTTTATAAAGCACTTTTAATGTTTTTTTTCTTTTTAACAATTTATGTATCTTCATCATTATTATCATTGTGTTTTGCTCTTTTTCATTTTCTTTTTGTTATTAATTAAAAAGCAATAAAAATATAAAAATGTTAAACATATGTAAGATTGCACTAACATGAACAAGAGTATCTATGTCAGACCTTGTGAGTTTAATTTACCCAATGTGGTCTATTTAATTATATTGTATTCTCAGTTGAACTAGGAATTTAATTGATATTGATTTTGATTGTTTATTCATCTGTAGTTTTTTAAATTCTATCTAGAAATAGTAAGTGTTGTGATTTAACTTCTAAATTTCAAGCACAGGATAGCAAGTGTTTTAATTAAAATAACTATAATTTACTGGACTATATATTGAAGGGGGAGCCACTTTTTTTGGCTCAGAAACATACCGGTTCACATGGAACTCTTTAGGGGCAAAGGAATTGACAGGGCTGGTGGTGACCCACACACATATACACTTAAAAACACACATGTTTAGGCACATGCTCATTTTGTATCTATTTATCTACGATAGATATAGATAGATATAGATATAGATATAATACTCGTGTGTGTGTGTGTGTGTGTGTATGATACTCATTAGAATGGGGGCAGGTTTCTTGATTCTTAAATGGTTCCCCCACTCCCACCCTTGAATAATACTTTCTTTTGATTTTGATTTAACTTGTTGTTGAATCCGGCCATTGTGGAAACTTTGGGCTGTAGCTTGGCACAGACTGCCTATGGTTGCACGTAGCATGCCAGCAAGTTTATTTCAGCCCAAAGACCCCCTCAACAGAGTGATCCCCCCAAATTTGGGATTTTCTTTAAGGGGGGCCAACTATTTCACCCCTTAAAAACTCCAAAGACACCCTCAAAAATCAAGGTTACTTGAGGTTCTGTCCTTGCCTGTTTTGAAGTACAGTACAGTTTTCAACATGCATGCAAAACCTAGTGCAACCCTCCAGTTACCAAAAGTTTGTTTCCTTATTTCTTTATCAAACTTATATTCCACCAAATTGCAGTTGACTCACATGGCTTATCATATAGTTTCTGTAATAACAAAAAGAAATAAAAATAAAAAATAAAATGAATATATCATAAGTAATGCACAATGCCAGTAAACCAGTTAATAAAATGCTGTTGGAATGTTGTGGGGTCATTCCCCTAAAGCTCTCCAGAAGAATTTGCTCTTCACAATCTTCTAGGAGGCCATCACCAATGGGGCTAGCTTTGTTTCTAAAGGGAGGCTGTTCCAGAGTATAGTTACCATGAAGGAAAACCAGTGTTTCTTGGCTTCAGCTCCCCTTACCTGATAAAACTGGGGCACCACAGCATGATGGATAAATTGAACCAACCATAGCTTAGTCAGTGAACCATAGCTTACAACAATGTGCGAACCCTCCCTATATGAGAGAGAAGTAGAGAAAAGTAGTTTGTTAAAATCCACTCATATTTTGGTGCTATCATAGGCTTGATCATACTTTCTACACTATGGGAAACTGAGGCTTTGATTAAGATTGTAAAGGACAATAATTTATCCCCCTTCCCCCCTCTCCCATCACAGTTAGCTTTGTCAAGATCTGTTTCGTCACTTCTAATAGCAACATATCTTTTCCACACTAAGTCAGGCTTCTTAGAAGTTTTATGGACCATGCAAAAAGCCATCAAGGCCTGCAAATGCTTGTACATCTCTGTATATATTTGAAGGGAAAAACCCAAAATCGGTGACTGCTTTTAGTTTTATTTACTGATGACAAAAATATTATTCTAAATTACTTTACTAGTAGGTAAGTGTTCTGAAAGATCCCAATTCAGTTCAAGTAATTATTTGGGGAGTTTGTTTTTAGTAAACATTACAAAGCTGAAAGCATCATTCATTATACCTAGTTTAGGTTAGTAACTTGCAACCTACTGTAATAATGTATAGCTTCCAAAATGTCAGGGCTTCATTCTGAACCATTTCTTGAACTGGGGACCTGATAAGATGTGTGGCGATAAGCGCCTGTATCAAGTTTGGCTAAAGGAGGAATGATAGCCACAGTTGTCAAGGGAATGTTTGCAATAATAAGTGAGAGTGGAACAAGTGACAATTTCTCTGTCAGACTTACTCATAAAAACAAATAAAAGATGGGCTATTATAGAATAACAGGTCTGACCCTAGTATTAGAGACAATGAGGAGGCCACTCCAGCAGCAGATTCTGAAAAGGAGAGTTGCAGGGCTCTGTTTGCTGCTGACACAGGATTCACACATCATGCTGTCATGGATTATTTAGCTAAGGTTAGATAGAACATGCTCAGCTAAAACCAACAAACTGTGTTAGGGTTTAGCATGCTATATGAAGCAAGTCATATATGAAGCTAGTCATGTCTCACACCCTCAAGCCATGAAGCTGTGATGGAGAATGCTGTCCTGTCACTGGTGAGCAATGAAAAATTCAGCCACCTGTTCAGCTCAAAAAACAAGGAGGTGAGCAGGTGTGCACACATGTGGGCATCATATTGCCTTTCCTCTCAAGCAACAATACATCTTGGGGTGATTATTTCTTTTTGTTTTGCTTTATCCCATCCCTCTGATTCTTTAGAGAAATACAGCTCAATCTAGATTTGGATGAATAGCCGTGCTCAGTATGCCATAGCTCTAATCAAGAACAATTCTGTCTTGTCTGGATTTAGTTTCAGTTGATTACCCTTCATCAGTGAATCAAGGCTTCTGTACGCTGGTTCAGAGTCTCCTTTGGCACAGATTTGTCCAATGTTTTTCTAAAGCCATTACAGAGCCATTTATAGAGAGGTTCATTGAAATGATTTACACTTTGAGCTTTTTCCACAATGCTATTGTGATACAACTGTTCATATTCGTGTTGGAATGAAGGGTTTCTACAACTATCTTAAATGTTCTTGACAACAGTTTGAGCTGATATTGAAATCCTCTACGATATGAAGGTTGAAATGATGATGATGATGATGATAATAATAAATAAATAAAGATAATAAAAGAAAGTTCAAATGCTTTCCTTATAAAGATGCAGATATATACTTTCATAAATTATATTTATAAGTAAATTACATATGGTGTGCAAATGGTTTCTTTTTGCTTGCCCTGTATATAATTTATTGGAAGAATCTAAGATTTAATATAGTGAGACAGAAAATAAATTTCTCTATTCTCTACATACAACTGATAATTTATAAAATTATAAAAATGCTAATTTTGCTTTTTTTTCTTTTTTCTTTTAAATTAAACACTCACAATCTCTTTAACTTAAATTTCATTGACTCTCTTAAATGAGATTAAAAAAGATTTTTTAAAATTTTGTACCTGTAAACTTTAATAAAAATATTATATAAAAAAAGATTTAAAAATAAATATATGTATTGGTTCTACCTGGTAATGTCTCATTTTTCTATAAGCTATATATTTTACATCATTGCAAATAAAACATTGGGAAAATGTGCTCATATATATTAAGCTCACCCACAAATGGCATCACAAGAAAACAGATCACCTGTAAAAGGATGTGAATGAAAACAGAAATAGTTTCTGCCAGGAATATGTGGAAAACTGATGAACTTAGGTCAGATTAAAATCTCACCTTTGCTTTTATGTTATGAAGCGTGCTTCTCTGCTAGCCATTACTAGAAACCACACTTTGGCTTGGTTAGAGTGTATGGGTATGGGTTTAGATAAGTAGGATTTGCAAATCAAAGAGGATTGGATAGCTTTATTTATGGGACCATAAATGTCTCAGGTAGAGAAAGTCCATTTAAAAGTGCTTGTTTACAATACTGATTCATAGCTTACATAAATAAGTACATATTTTTATGGTGAACATGCTATAGCTTACCCCCTTACTCACCTCTTTCCCTTAGGCAGAAATGGTTCGTGCAGCTTTCCAAGCTCAAAGGGCATTTCTTCGGTTGACCTCACATTATCAAGAACCTCAGGAGGTAAGAAATGTTTATGATCACCTGAAATGTTAAAGTTTGGTTGGTTGGTTGGTTTCTAAAAATGGGAAGTTGTAAAGCAAAAAAAAAAAAAAATCAGCCTTTTGCTTCATTTTATTTAAAAGAAAGTCTTTGTGCCTATACTTATTTAAAAAATAAAAATGATTGGGTCCTGGAGCCCAGTGGTTGGGTTGGATGTATGCCCGGAACAAAAGAACACACTCTAGAGCAGGCTTTCTCAACCTTGGCAACTTTAAGACGTGTGGACTTCATATGCTGGCTGAGGAATTCTGGGAGTCGAAGTCCGCATGTCTTAAAGTTGCCAGAGTTGAGAAACCCTGCCCTAGAGAATGGCAGAGGAACTTCTGGGGGAAGTTGTAGGAGTCCCATAAATAAAGTTACTGTGGTCACATTAATACCTTCCCAATATCTGGAAATATCTAGAAATTTCTTTTAATTCTCTGGGCAATAGTTCTGATAAAGTCATAAAGAATTAAGACACTTTAATTAAATGACAACTTAATTACATGTAAAAGTTATCATACATATATATGCACATACATAGCTGGTTCATACTTTGCAGAGAACCACCATGTGATTTGTTTGGGGCTGACTGTGTATATTGTGAAAACTTTATTGAGATTTGCAAACCATAGTTATAATATGTAAACACAGCCAGTTAATGCCATATTCAACAAATTATGATTTAGCAAACCATACGTTCATAAAATGCACAAACATAGTATGACTGACATCTGCTCCGGTGAAAACAAACCATGATTTAGTGCGATGTTGCAAGATAATCATAAGGGGCTGTCTTAAGTTATTTAAGCAAATTTAGCATTCCTAATACTGGGGCATATAGCATCAAATCTGATATTGGAGAAAGCTCTGCTATGTGCAGTGTGAGTGTAATTTTTTTTTTTTTACAAAACATAAGCTAGCAGGTTGATTCCAATATAGAAATTACATAATTTACCCATCTTTATTATGATTCAATTCCTTTTCATTCAGGTAGGGTAAAGGGAAGAAGAAAAATCAATCCTTTAAGATAATTATCATTGTGCTATGGGAATAATAATCCAAGTACAGCAATGGAAGCAGTAAAAGTCCAAAAGAAAAAAAAAACAGTTTATATCAGAGCAGCTATGAAACTCTACAGAGATGGAATTTCTCTCCAATAATCTTTTGTAAGATGTTGACAGACTTAATACATATCAAGATAAATGAAGGCTAAGTTTAATTAAGATTTCACTGTGTATTTTCTCTCTGAAGACATTAGTTTGGTTTTTTTTCTGAATTTGTCCACTGACAAATTGTCCATTGACAAGTCCTGCTGTGTTGCCTCATCGTGATGGGGAGATGTTCCTGGGATGTATGAGTGAAGAACATCAGGAGTGTATACCAAGAGTATATATTCCCAGCACGGTCACCCAAGGCGTGAAGGTCACCCCAGCTGCCCAGCTAAAGCAACCAGGCACCTATATTGGGTAGCAGTGATAAAGGAAGATGCCAGAGGCAGACGATCACTTTATTGACAATGGCAAAGGCATCAATTCATACTGTGCAGAAGAAGGCAATGGTAAACCACTCCTGTATTTTACTAAGAAAACCACATGGATAGAAAATATAAAATAATTGACAATATAGTGCCAGATGATGGGCCCTCAAGTTGGATGGCACTCACATGCTACTGAGGAAGAGCTGAGGATGATCTTTTGGAATACTAATGGTATTTATGATGTGACTAGATTAAAGCCTTTGGGATGTTTAGATGCTTATGTTGCCATGCAGGAAAAGAAAATCCAAAGCTGCAAAGACATAAATACAGTGGGAACATGGAATGTAAGAAGCATGAACACGGGAAGCTCAACACAGTGAAAGATAAAATGAAAGGACTACAAATTGACATCTTAGGCATCAGTGAATTGAGATGGACTGGGATTAGATACTTTCAGTCAGAAGATCAGGCTGTTTATCACTCACGATATGAAAAACAAAGAAGAATGTTGTTGCTTATATAGTTAAAACATGCATAGCAAGAACAGCGATTGGCTACAGTGCAATCAGTGATCAAATAATATCAATTAGACTTTGTTCCAACCACTGATGCAGAAGAGGAGGTTGATGAGTCTTATGATCAAATTCAATTTGAAATTGACAGAACATGCAAGCAAGATGTGCTACTTGTGATTGGAGACTGGAATGCCAAAGTTGGAAATACTAAGGAGGAAAAAGTAGTTGGATTGCACAGTTTAGGAAACCAAAATGAAGCAGGAGAATGACTTATTAATTTCTGCCACTACAATGATTTCTTCAAACAACCAAAACAATGCCTCTGTACATGGACATCACCAGAAGGAGTGCACAGAAATTAAATTGACTTTATTATTGCTAAAAGGAGGTAGGGGAGCTCAATTATAGCATCAAAGACATGGCCAGGTGCTACTATGGAACAGAACACAAACTGCTCATATGTAAGTTCCAAGTTAAGCTGAAGAAGAAGAAAGCCAAGCAGTTTCCACAATGTGACCTTGAGCATATATCTATCATTTTCAAGAACATCAGGAATCACTTGGAAGTCCTGAATCTCATTGATAAGAGAACCAGAGGAACTGTGGAATGAACCTAAAGGTGTAATTAAGCATGAATGTGAAAAGAGACTGCCAAAGATGAAGAAACAGAAGAAAGCAAACTGGATGTCAGAACAAACTGTCAAGAAGAGCAGAGAAGCCAGAGCCAAGAAAGGTAAAAATCTTGGATAAGAAAGGAACTTAACAAAGAGTTTCAGAGAGCTATTTGAAGAGACAAGAAGCACTATTACAACAATATCTATAAAAATATTGAAGATGGAAACAGACATGATCAAAGATGGAAGGGATATAGTGAAATACTGTACAATAGAGATGTAAACATCCAAGACACCTTAGAAGATATCCTCTACTTACATGAACCTATAATACTAGAAGATGAAGTTAGATCAGAACTCTAGTCCTTACCAAGCTGGAAGGCTACAGGTACTGATGGAATGCCCACAGAAATATGGCAAACAACAGAATCAGAATCAGAAAAGGTTCTAATCAAGCTATGCCAGCAAATCTGGAGAACAACACAGTGGCCCACAGATTGGAAAAGGTCAGTCTACATTCTAGTACCAAAAAAAGGAGACTTAACAGAGTGTACAAGCTTTCAAACTATCATACAATATTCTTAATTTCACGTACTAGCAAAATAATGCTTAGGATCATCCAACACAGATTAGAGTCCTACATGGGAAAAGAGATGCCAGATGTTCAAGCTGGCTTTAGAAAAAGCCAAAGAACACAATACATTATTGCTGATACATGCTGGATAATTGAGAAAGCTAAAGAATACCAAAAAGAAGTCACTATGTGCTTCATTGATTATAGAAAGGCATTCAATTATGCAATCATATCAAGCTGTGGAATGTGCTTAGAAAAATAGGAATCCTAGAATATCTCATTGTCCTATGCTAAACCTATATATAGGTCAGAAAGCTACAGTGTGGACAGAACATGGCAAGACAGACTGGCTCCAGGTTGGCAAAGGAGTATGACAAGGCTGTATACTCTCCCCTTATTTATTCAGTTTATAGGTGGTTGAGAAAGTGGTGGCATCACAGCTCCAAAGGGTTCTGGAGGAAACAGATT